TAATTTGATCTTCAGATTTTGGTGGTATCAGAGTGTGATATGTTAAGTTCCGAGCCTTGTGCACTTGTGGGACCCGTCTCACGAGTGCACGGCGTCTGTTGCGCCTCGAATTTGGGTTTTGGGGCGTGACACTCATCCTTCTTAATCCATAATAACATTTTACCAACAAAATGGAGCTATATAGTTAGTTTGCAAAAATAAATCATAATCGATCTCTAGAGAACTCAGTTCTAAAGAAGTAGCACTATTATGTATATGTTGATAAATGATAATCACCTTCCAAAGCAACTCAACACCTTGGCCACTGAGATGGCAAATGAAGATGTGCTAGTAACGAGACATTTATGAGGGAAGGCCATAAATCTATTATAATCAATGACTGTTCATGGCATTGTTGTACTCTTTAGACCAATTAGCAAATTTGAAGGCACACAGTTGTTTGGATTTGAGCTAGAGCTGGTTTAGTGCAATATGGCAGACAGAATGCGTCCAAAGCTAATTCTAGCAAACCAATGTTGTCAAAATAATCAATGGTTTGTGGATGACCCACCCATAACATATATATCATCAAATCTCAATATGTTCATGTATGCCTAAAATGAGAAACATAAAGATGTGCAGACTAATTTCAATGATTGTTGCAACACAAACCTTTGAGATTAATTAATGGATATTTATTTCTGTCCTTGTTTCAGTCATAGAGTAGCTCTGCAGGTTCTGGTACTTAGTGGCATGCATTATAAAACAATGTTTTAGCGAACATTATCATGTATGTATCAATGATAGTACTCCGATTTCAGGTATATTTACTGAAATGAAGCAAACTCATTTTTTTCAACTCTCTGATGACCCAACTCTCCCATTGATGAACAGTTAAGGGATAATTGTACTCAAAGTACTAGAAAAATGAGAAAGCCAATTATACCAATGAATATATCCATTCACATAACACTTCCATTAAGCTAGATGTGGAGGGGCTGCTCAAATGGCCAATCAAGCTTCAGAGCAGTATTAAAGAGCCCTGCAACATATATATCCCTTATTATCAACACAAATGGGTTCGAGTCCAATAAGATGCATGATAAGGAGAAAACATAGTCTCGATATTTGGATAAACAAATAAGAACAGTAAGATGAATTGAGAGCTACTCATATGGCTGACTTAGCTTCAAAGAAGTAGTACAAAAGAACCTTGCAACATGTATATCACTTGTTCTCAATAGTTGACATTTAGACTCATTAAAAAAACCCAAAAACAATTGCTTCCTTCCATAGAATATAACATATATACGTGGGGTGGGCATTATAAAGCATTCAATTCATATTTGTTGATGTAATTGCCATACAAACTTTCAAAGCTCGATAGGTCGATAAGAAATGCGTGCCCAAGTGCTACCACTATGAGTAATTAAAAAGGAATTAGCATCCAATTAAGGGAGATAAACATCTTAGGAGCAAATCAAGATTAGAAAATTGAGCAAATCAACCAAGATTAACCCTAAACACTAAACAAGATTAGTACAAAGAATTAAATTTATTTAAGAACCAAAGATAGTTAAAAAAGAGATAAAAACATTTATTTATGAAATACCAGAGAAAGAAAATCGAATGCAAGTAATGAGACCTACAAAGCATCATAATATTGGAGCAAAGGTAGGAGGACATTCTCATTGTCGGGATTCTCCCACTATTTTTTTGGATTGAAAATAAAGATATCTTTCACAACAAGAAGAGAAGGTTGCCTATTCTCTCTTCCAAGACAAAGGGGAATCCTCTTTACCTTCAGACAACCCTACATGGTAATGGAATTGAGAGAATTACAAACCATTATTCCTCTTTCTGGGCAGATTCTCTTCAATTCTGGTAATTTATACAAGTCCAATATCCTTAATTTTGGACAAGTGAATATTGTAGTAGTAGTTGTTTGATTTCCCTCATCTTCTTCTTCCCATCCTATTGTTGCTTTGAAAAAATAGCATTTCCCTTTGTCTATTCAATGACTAATGACAAAAAAAAAAAAA